TCCTCCACTTCCTCCTCCTCCTCCTCCTTCCTCCTCCTCTTGCTCCTCTGCCCCCCCTCCTCCTTCTCATCCTCCTCCTCCTGCTCCTGTTCACCAGCATCACCACCATAATCACCATCACCACCACCACCATCACCATCATCAACATCATCAGCATCATCATCATCATCATCATCAGCATCAGCATCATCATCATCATCATCATCATCATCATCGTCATCATCATCAGCATCATCAGCATCATCACCATCATCATCATCATCAGCATCATCATCATCATCATCAGCATCATCATCATCATCATAATCATCATCATCATCATCAGCATCAGCATCGTCATCATCATGTTCATCATCATCGTCAGCATCAACATCATCACCATCAGCATCATCAGCATCATCATCACCATGATCAACATCAACATCATCATCATCATCATCATCATCAGCATCATCATCACCCGTCAGCATCATCAGGATCAGCATCATCAGCATCATCACAATCAGCATTAGCATCAGCATCAACATCAGCATCACCACCATTCGCATCACGACCACCACCATCATCATCCGCATCATCATCAGGATCAGCATAACCATCATCATCATCATCATCATCATCATCATCATCATCATCATCAGCATCATTATCAACATCAGCATCATCATCAGCATCAGTGTCATCATCATCATCATCCTCATCATACTCATCACCATCATAAGCCTTATGATCGTCATCATCATACTCATAGTCATAATCGTCGATCGTAAGCATCATCCGCAGCATCAATCATCATCTCATCAGTGTCATCATTCCTCCTCATTCTCCTCTCCTCCCTCACGAGTACATCCTTCTCCTCTTCCTACTCCTTCCTCCGCACTCCTCCTCCCTCATGGATCATACCTTATCCTTTCCTCCCCCTCTCTCCCCCATCCTAACCCTCCTCCTCATGCTCGTCCTCCCTCCCCCTCCGCAACTCCTCCTCCTCCCTCCTCCTCCCCAATCCTCATCGCCTTCTCCTCCTCCTCTTCCTCCTACTTCTCTCTCATCATCCTTGTCCTCGTCCATCCTCCTTCCTCCTCCTCCTCTCTCTCCTCCTCCTCCTCCTCCTCCTCCTCCTCTTCCTCCTCCTCATCCTCCTCCTTCTCCTCATCCTCCTCGTCATCCTCCTCATCCTGCTCCGCCCTGCTTCTCCTCCTCCCTGCTCCGCCTCCTCCCTGCTCACTCTCCTCGTGCTCCTCCCCTTTAGTGTTCCTCCTCGTTCTCCGCATGCTGCTCCTCCTCTTCCGCATGCTGCTCCTCCCTGCTTCCTCTCCTCGTGCTGCTCCCCCTGCGCCTCCTCCTCGTGCTCCTCCCTCTTTCTCCTCGTGCTCGTCGTCCTCCTCCTCCTCCTCCTCCTCCTCCTCCTCCTCCTCCTCCAGCTCCTCCTCCCCTTCCTCCTCCTACTCTTCCTCGTCGTATTTGTCCTCCTCCTCGTCCTCGTCCTCCTCCTCCTCCTTCTCCACCTCCTCCTACTTCCTCCAATATCGCTCCTCCTCCCTCCTCCTCCTCCTCCTCCTTATCCTCCTCCTCCTCCTCATCCTCATCCTCCTCCTCCTCCTCGTCCTCGTCCTCGTCCTCGTCCTCGTCCTCGTCCTCCTCCTCTTCCTCCTCCTCCTCTTTCACTCCTCCTCCTCCTCCCTCCTCCACTCCCCCTCCTCCTCCGTGATCCTCCTCCTCCTTGATCCCTCATCCTCCACCCTCATCATACTCCTCCTGCTCCTTTTCCTCATTCATCAACCTCTCATCCTCCTCCTGCTCCTTATCCTCCTCTTCCTCCTCCCTCCTCTCCTCCTCGGCCCTCTTCTCCTTCCTCCTCCGTATCCTTCCTCCTACTGCCTTTTATCTCCTCCTACGCTCATACCCATTAATCCTTCCTCACTACTATTATCCTCATCTCCCTCCTCATCCTCCCCATCCTCCTCCTCCTCCTCCTCTCTCCTCCTCCTCCTCCTCTCCTCATACTTCTTCCTTCTTCTATTCATCCCTCCTCCCTTATCCTCTCCTCCTCTCCATCTCCTCCTCCGCCCTCCTCATCGTCCCGTCATCGTCCTCGTCCTAGTCCTCGTCCTCGTCCTCTCCTCCTCCTCCGCATACTCTCCTCCTTTTTCTCGTCCTCCTCCTCCTCTTCCTCCTCCTCTCTTCCTCTTCCTCCTCCTCCTGCTCCTCCTCCTCCTCCTCCCCCCGCTCTAAGAATCGACGCTTATCTGTCTCTGCGTGCTTTATCTGGTTGTCTCGGGCGACGCCCGGCGCCCCGCCTGCCCGCAGTCGCGGGAGGGGAGCCCCCCTGCTGCCGAACAGGCGGAAATGGAGGAGGAGGAGGACGAGGAGGAGGAGGAGGGGGAGGAGCAGAAGGAGGAGAAGGAGGAGGAGGAGGAGGAGCAGAAGGAGGAGGAGGAGGAGAGGAGGAGGACGAGGAGAAGGGGTGTGTGTGGGGGGAGGAGAAGGAGGAGAAGAGATGAGAAGGGAGGAGAAGGAGGAGGATAAGGATAAGGGGAAGGAGGGATAAGAGAGGAGAAAGAAGGAGGAGTAGGAGAAAGTGGAGGATGAGGAGGATGAGGATGAGGGAGGAGGAGGAGGATGATCAGGGAGGAGGATAAGGGAGGAGAAGAAGGAGGTAGGAAGAGGAGGAGAGGAGGAGAGAAGAGGGAGCAGGAGGAAGGAGGAGGGAGGGAGGGAGGAGAGAGGGCGGGAGGAGGAGGATTTTTTTTTTTTTTTTTTAGGAGGGAGGTGGGGAGGAGGAGGAGGAGGAGAAGGAGGAGGAGGGAGGAGGCGAGGAGGAGAGAGGAGGAGCGGGAGGGAGGAGGGGGAGGAGGAAGGAGAGGAGGAGGAGGAGGAGGAAGGAGGAGGAGCAGGAGGAGGAGGAGGACGTGGAGGAGCTGGAGGAGAGAGGAGGAGGAGGAGGAGGAGGAGGGGGGAGGAGGAGGAGGAGGAGGAAGGAGAGGAGGAGGAGGAGGAGGAGGAGGCGGCAGGAGGAGAAAGAAGGAGGAGGAGCTGGATGAAAGAAGAGTGAGGAGGAGGAGGAGGAGGCGGAGGAAGAGGAGGAGGAGGAGCGGGAGGAGGAGGAGGAGGGATAAGAGAGGAAGAGAAAGAAGGAGGAGGAGGAAGGAGGAGGCAGGATAAGGGAGGAGGAGGAGGAGGAGGAGGAGGAGGAGGACGAGGAGGAGGAGGAGGAGGAGGAGGAGGAGGAGGGAGGAGGAGGAGGAGGAGGAGGAGGAGGAAGATGAGGATGTGGAGGAGGAGGAAGAGGAGGGATGGGGGAGGAATGAGGAGGGGGAAGAGGAGGAGGAGGAGGAGGAGGAGGAGGAGAAGGGAAGAAGATGAGGGAGGAGGAGGAGTAATGAAAAGGTACTTCTGCGGGTCCCTTGTGAACCTCTCTTTTTGTTCCGCTTCCCGTCGTCTCTCTTCTCACCTCCGGGCACTCCGCTGCACCGTGTTGAGTTGCCGTTATCATCTCTGGGTTTTTTTGGCACGCTTGTCCGTAAGAGTCATGTCGCACGATGCTGCGAGCTTTGCCCAAAGTTCGCCCAAGGCCAACAGCTTCTGCGGGCTCACTTCCTTCCTCCTTCTCGTCCTCCCCCATCCCTGTCTGGCGGTTTCCCCCCGCCACACTTCTCACAAGCACCGCCGGTGCCCGCTGGGAGCAGTCTTTTTAAGGGGTCTCCTGGCCTCCGTTTGTTCAGCCCCCCCAGGGCCGACTGGCCATGGGGGGCGGGGGCTGCGATCGACGATCCCCCCAGCCGTCAGGAACAGGAGCGGGCGGAGGCGGGAAAGGAGAAGGAGTAAAGAGAAAGGAGAAGGAAGGAAGAGAAAGGAGACGGGGAGAAGGAGAAAGGAGAAAGGAGAAGAGGGCGGAAGAGGAGAAGGAGGGAAGAGAAAGGAGAAGGAGGAGGAGGAAGAGAAGGAGAAGGAGAAGGAGAGGGAAAGGAGAGGGAGAAGGAGGGAAAGGAAAGGAGAAGGAGAAGGAGCGGCAGCAGCAGGGGCGGGACGAGCCGAGGGCCTCCTTGGTCTTCTTGACGACCTGCGGCAGGACGCTCAGCAGGGAGACGTCCACGCCGAGGTCCTGCAGCGCGGCGGGGCCGGGTCCGAGGGCGGCTGGTGGAGCAGGGGGAGGGCCGGCCCCTGGGGCCCCAGCGCCCACCCGGCATCTCTCCATCGCTCTCTCTCTCTCTCGCTCTCCCTCCCTCTCTCTCTCTCGTCCTGCGTGTGTTTTGCTTGTGTCTCCCTCTCTCTCTCTCTCTCTCCCCCCATAGGTTGTTTTCATTATGTAGTTCTCTTTCTCTTTCTCTCTTACTCTCTCTCTCTCTCTCTTTCCGATGTGTGTTGTTCTCTCTCTCTCTCTCTCTTTCTTTCCAACCCTGTGTATACACAGACATACGCATCGACTGGTGGCATGCGTCGGCAACATAAGCCACATGAGACGGCGTCACCATGCGCTGCTAAGCGTGTCCTCGATGACGGCAACCAGCCCACGCCATCGCAATGGCAAGGAAACCGTCGTATGACCCTCAGCGCCAGGCTCACACCAACATAGAAACGAGCTCGGGGATCTTCTGACCCGGGTCAATCCAGACCGGGGTCAGCAGGAAACCAAACAACTGCAATGCAGAAAAACAAAAAACTGCAACGCAGGCCACCGAACGACCCGGTCGGCCCATCTGCGCGGCCGCCCCGCGGCAACGAGCGGCCCGCTGACCCGGGTAAGCCAGAAGGGGAACTTCGCAGGATCCTGCGGGATTAGATGCCTCCTAGATGGGGTCGGAGTAGATGAGGTCGGAGGATGGCGCCGCATCGCCGATACATCGGCGATGCATCGGCGATGTATCGGCGATGCATCGGTGATGCACCGGCGATACATCATCGACGTGGGCGATGCATCGGCGACGCCGGCGTGGAGAAAATCGGGCTCCGCATCGAGCCGCATCGTCGATGCATCGGCGATGCGGCGAGATCCTCCGACCCCATCTACTCCGACCCCATCTAGGAGGCCTAGAGGGATCCCGTGCCCTGGCTGACCCCCCTTTGCACGGACCCCCGTCTCTGAGGCCCCGGCGAGCCCTCCGCGGCATGCTGCCCCGGGCGGCGGCCAAGCTCGGACGCTCGCCCCGCGGCGCGGTCGCCGCCGAGAGTCGACGCGACGACGGGCCGACCGGGAGCAGAGGCTCGAACCTGGCCCCAGAACCCCTGCAGATCGACCGGCCCGCGCCGAGGGCCAGTCCCCAGAGCTCCAGGGTATTGAGAAAATCAGGGCGGAATTTTTTTTGTTGCTATGTTCGGCCTCGAGAGGCCCGCGCCAGGCCTCGGGACCGTCAGAAAACGACTCGGGATGAAAAACCGGCCCTGGGGAAAGGGTAGTAATTCGCAGGCCCAACGGGCCAGAGGCGTGCTAAGATCTCCGGTAACTACTTACAATATTTCTAGTTCGCGCGCGCGGGGCGGCCCCTGGGGGGCCCCGGACGAAAAGTACCCCGGCCGATCCCCAGCTGACCCCCGGGCGTCGGGACTTCCCGGGACCCCGTTTTGAATAAATTACGACGTCGGATCTCTGGGTCTGAGGGGTGCCCCTCTCGGAGGACTGGAGGAGGCCTCAAGCCGGGCGTCGGCAGAGCTGGGCTTAGTGGGACCTGGTTTAGCGATGTGCACTGGGGGATGACCCCCCCCCCCGCCCCGTTCCACTAACCGGAACTGCCGTCACCCGAAAAAACGACAACTACGGCAGACCTGGTTTAGTGATTCTGGCCATGGCCAGAATCACTAAACCAGACTGCAGTCTGAGGGGTGCCCCTCTCAGTGAACCGGAGGCCTCAAGATTCGGGGGCGCGCAAACATGGATCAGCGATCCATGGATCTGGCGCCCGCGCGCCAAATCCATGGATCGGGAGAGGTGCCCTCCCCTGAATGCGGCCAATGCCGCCTCGTTCGGCGGCGGAAGTCCAGGATTCCCAATGGACGCGGGACCCGTCCCTCATCCACGCCCCTTAATCCATGTTTGCGATCGCCTGAAAGATGGACACTGAGACGAGGTGATGCCAATCGCAGGGTTGGAGATCTGTTTCAGACTGGTTTTCCAAGGAGGAAGCGGGGACCAGGGCCAAGTCTGAAGGAGGAAACGTCGTGCCGGCAGTGACCACCATCCTTCTTGGTCAGACTCAAATCGTGGATCTTCTCCCCGAATCAGCGTAGGCTGACACGTAGCGTGACTAAGATCGGGGGGGCGCAGCGCCGATCCGAGGAATTCGCGCAACACCCCAACAATTTCTGCTTGTGATGCTATTCGTCCAAAAACTCCACCTTCCTCATTCCCCCGCACTCCTTAAGCCTGGGGATGGGGATCCCACGCAGGGAGCAGAAACACATCTCCCCGGTCGGGCGTCGACAACCCCGTTCTCCGTTCTTCCTCTTGTCTCCCCTGTCTGGACCCCTCTCTCCCTTCTCTTTTCTGGACAATCCACCACCTCCTCCTCCTCCTCCTCCTCCTCTTCCTCCTCCTCCCTCTCCTCCTCCTCCTCACCCTCCTTCTCCTCCTCCCTCCGTCCCTTCCTCCCTCGTCTCCCTCCCTCTCCCCTCCCCCGAGTCCCTCCCTCCCTCCCCCTTGGAGGCTCCATTCCTCTGCTCTCCGCCTCCGCTGCGCCCTCGGGCTCTTTGGCGCCCCCTCCCCGCAGGTCCAAAAGGCAGTGAAGATGGAGATGGACCTTCCCGCGCTCCTCCTCCGTCCCTTCCTCCTAACACTCCTCCTCTCCTCTCTCCTCCTCCTCCTCTCTTCCTCTCCTCTCCTCCTCCTCCTCCTCATGCTCCTCCGCGTCCTCATCCCTCATCCCTCCTCATTCCTCCTTCTCCTCTTCCTCTCCTCTCCTCCTGCTCCCGGCGTCCCTTCCACCCCCTCCTCCTCCTCCTTCTCCTCCTCCTCCTCCTTCCTCCTCCTCTCGTCCTCTCTCCTCCTTCCTGCTCCTCCGGTCCTCCTCTCTCCTCCTCCTCCTCTTCCTCCTCTCCTCCTCCTCATCCTCCATCTCTTCTTCCTCCCCTCTCCTATCCTCCTCCTCCTCCTCCTCCTCGCCCTCCATCTTCTCGATCCTCGTCCTGGTTCTGGTCCTCCTCCTCCTCCCTCTCCTCCTCCCTCCTCCTCCTCCTATCGTATTCCTCCTCCTCCTCCTCCTCCTCCTCCTCCTCCTCCTCCTCCTCCTCCCTCCCCCCTCATCCCCCCGAGGCCCTCCGGCCCCCCCCGCGACGGCGGCCCGAACGCTCCTTCCCGAGCTTCATCACCGTCTTCAGGGCCTCGGGCCGCCAAACAGGGCCCAGCAACGCGCGGCTCGGAGGAGGAGGAGAAAGAGGAGGAGGAGGAGGAGGAGGAGGAGGAGGAGGAGATGAAGAGGAGAGTGAGCGGAGAGGAGGAGGAGGAAGGCGGAGGAGGCAGGAGTACGGAGGAGGAGGAGGAGGGGAGGAGGAGGAGGAGGAGGAGGAAGGAGGAGGAGGGGAGGAGGAACGAGGAGGAGGGGAGGAGGAGAGGAGGAGGAGGAGAAGAAGGGGTGGAGGGAGGACGGGAGGGATGGAGAGGAGGGAGGACTAGGAGGGAGGAGGGAGGAGGGGAGGAGGAAGGAGAGCCTCGGGGAAGGAGGGAGGAGGGAGGAGGGAGGGAGGGAAAGAGGCGGAGGAGGAGGAGGGCGAAGAGGAGGGAAGGGGGAGGAGGAGGGAGGAGGAGAGAGGAGGAGGAGGAGGAGGAGGAGAGGGTCATGGTGTACAGGCGTGCATGGGAGACCTGTGGAAGAGGAGGAGGAGGAGGAGGAGGAGGAGGAGGAGGAGGAGGACTGGGAGGAACGTGCTTGAGAGGACTGGAGGATGAGGAAGAGGAGGAGGAGGAGGAGGAGGAGGAGGAGGAGGAGGAGGGAGGAGGGAGGAGGAGGGACGAGGGAGGAGGGACGAAGGAGGAGGAAGGAGGAAGGAGGAAGGAGGATGAAGATGAGGAGCAGGAAATGAGGAGGACGAGGACGGAGGACGAGGAGGGTTATGAGGGAAATCCTGCAGACCCAATATGCGTCGCATCCACGTCGAATTTGCATCGGGTTCGCGTCGGACTACGTCGGAACTACGTCGGGCTTACGTCGGACTGACTCCAGAGCATCGCCGCGCGAGCGTCGACCCATAGCTTACGGAGCTGGCGTGTGGACTAGATCACACTACTGTTACGCGCCGCGCGAGGCCTCCAGGATGCTCCTCATAAGGAAAGGGGAGAAGCGAAGAGAAGTCGCTGGAAGTCGCTGACATCCGCAGAGTGGGAGCGAACAAACCCGTCCGAGACCCCAGGCGGCGGGGCACAGGGGACGGCCTCCCACCAGGCAAGGACAAGGGGCGGGAAGCAGAAGGAGGTGTTTGACGGAGGAGGAGGGAAGGCTAGGGAGCGACTCCTGGAGAGGCCTAGGCGAGAAGGAGCGAGGGCGATTCGCCGAGATGAAGAGGGCCACTATGCCTGATTAGGCCAACTTGAACCCATGGCTGAGCCGGATGAAGCCAGATCGAACGGGATCCAATCCAGCAGGATGGAGCCTGACACGGCGGGATGGCGCAGGATGCTGCCGGTTTTCGACCAGGGATGTACCAGCGCCAACGCTGAATTCATCACACATCCGGCCGCCCCGATTTTTTCGATGCGTGGGGGCCCGGGATCGGCAGCGAGCGAGGGGGGAAAATGAGAAGGAGAAGGCCTTCTCGGAAGGCTCGGAAGTCCCCTGGCCTTCTGAGAAGTTTTCGAAGCCTTCCCCAAAGACAGGACAAAACCTCTCAGAAGGCGCGAGGGCTTCTGAGAAGTCCCGCCCCCTTCTGAGAAGGCCTTCTCCTTCTCACTTCCCCCCCTCGCTCGCCGCCGACCGGAGGTCTGGACCACTTCCCCAGTGCCGGTTTCTCTTCCTGAGTCGGTTTTTGACGGTCTCGAGGCTCGGCGAGCGCCCCCAGAGGCCGAAAACGGCCAAAAACCCGCCGCTCGAATTCGTGCTGGACGGTCGGCTGTCTGGCACCCTCCCAGGAGCTGCATCCCAGGGAAGGGAGGACGGAAGGGGCCCCAGGAGTCCAAGGCCAGCGGGCCTCTCGGAGGACGGGTGTCTGAAGAGGCTGTTTCAGACTAAATTGCACGTGGCTCGGGCAGACTCTGCGAAACTGCCCAGTGCCCTCGCTCGCTGGGTGGTCTGAGCCACCATCGCCGCGGAGATAATCTCTACGGTCGGTCCCCAACGTATCCGTTTCCCGATTGGTCGGTTCCCGAGCTGTCCGCTTCAGCTCCCCAAACATCCGATGTCGTGATTTTTTAGAATGCGCGGTCCCAGGAAGTCTCGACCCACTCCCCAAGACCGGCTTTCATCCTGAATCGTGTTTGACGATCCCGAGGCCCGGCGAGGGCCCTGACGGGCCGAAATTTGCCAAAAAAGCCGTCTAGATGTTTGTCAATACGTTGGATCTCTGGGTTCTGCCGCGGAAGGCGCACCTCCCGTGTCGAGGGGCTACTGAGGTGCTAGGCCGCGACCATCATGGCTGCGCTCGGTAGCTGCGGGCCGCGACCCTTCGGGAGGCAGGAAAGCGGCCAAAACCACAGTAGACTAATTCAAGAGCGAAGCACAAGTATGATGATGAGGATGACGATCATGATGACGATGACGATGATAATGACGATGACGATGACGATGACGATAGTTATGGTGATGGCGGTGGTGATGATGGTGATGCTAGTGACTGATGATGATGACGATAATGATGAGGATGATGATGATGCTGATGACGGCAATGATGATGCCGATGACGATGATGGTGATGATGATGATGCTGCTGGTGATGGTGATGATGGTGATGATGGTGATGATGGTGATGGTGATGGTGATGGTGATGATGGTGATGACGACGATGATGATGGTGGGATGTTGGTGATAATGATGGGGATGCGATGTGGAAAGAGCGTGTTCTACCGCTGCTGGCGGAAAACCGGGGGGGTCACTACCGGTTCGAACCCTTCCCCCCCCCCTCTCCCGAAAACCGCGGGGGGTCACTACCGGTTCGAACCCCTCCCCCCCCCCCCCCAGCTTATCATGAAAAGGGGGGGGGGTCACTACCGGTTCGAACCCCCCCCCCCCCTCTCGAAAACCGAGTGGGGGTGCGGACAGAGGTGGGGACGGTGTTGGTGGGACAGTGGTGAGGGGACAGCGGGACAGTGGTGGGGACAGTGGGACAGTGGGACAGTAGAGGGCCGGTAGTGGTGGGGACAGTGGTGAGGACAATGGTGGGAACAGGGGGGACAGTGGACAGTGGTGGGGACGGCGGTGGTGGTGACAGTGGTGTGGGCACAGTGGGAATGAGGTGGAAACAATGGGACAGTGGAGGGTACAATGGTGGTGGGGACAGTGGTGAAGGTGGTGGCGAGGACGGCGGTGGGACAATGGGACAGTGGTACAGTGGGGACAGTGATGGGGACAGTGGGGACAGTGGTGGGAACAGTGGGACAGCTCAGTGGGACAGCGGCGGAGTCGGTGGGACAGTGGGGATAGTAGGGCAGTGGTTGGGGCCGTGGAGACAGTGGGGAGAGTGGAACCGTGGTGGGAACAGTGGTGGGGACAGTGGGGACAGTGCGACAGTGGTGGGGGCACTGGTGGGGACACAGTGGGGACAGTGGTGGTGAGGACAGTGGTGCTGGGAACAACAGTGGAGGATGTGATGCGGACGGTGGTAGGGACCGGGAGTCGTTTGCTGGCGGTGAGTGGGGGGGTGGGGAGGGGTTCGAACCGGTAGTGATCCCCCTCCGGTTTTCGAGGGGGGGGGGGGGTTCGAACCGGTAGTGACCCCCCCCGGTTTTCCGGATCCGGAGGGGGGTGGGGGGGTTCGAACCGGTAGTGACCCCCCCCGGCTTTCGAGGGGGAGGGGGGGCGGGGGGGGGGGGGAGGGGTTAGGGGTAGGGGGGGGGGTTTCGCCGGGGGAGGGGGGGGGGGGGGAGGGTTTCAGGCAGGGGGGGAAGGATTTTCGGAGGGGGGGGGGGGGGGGGGCGACCCCCGGGTTCCGGAGGAATAAGTTGGCAATTTTCAACAGTAAAGCGGCGGTGGATCACGCTCTCTCTGATGTTGATGTGCTGACGATGATTAGGTTGATGGTGCTGATGATGATGCTGTTGAAGATGGTGATGAGGATGATGAAAAGGAGAAGCTCCTCCTCCTCCCCTTTATCCTCCTCCTCCTCCTTCCTCATCCTCCATCTCCTCCTCCTCCTCCCCTCCTCATGCTGATGTCCTCCTCCTCTCACTCCTCCTCCTCCCCTCCTCCTAACGTCCTACTCCTCCAAACCTCCTTCAATACACAGGCCTATCGTACCACACGTACTCCTCCTCCTTCCTCCTCCTGCTCCTCCCCTTTCCCCCCCCACCATCCTCCTCCTCCTCTCCCCTCCTCCTCCTCCCCTCCTCCTCCTCCTCCTCCTTTCCGACGTTCGGCATCCATGGATCGACTGGGGTGACAGCGCCCAGTCCTCCCCCCCTCCTCCTCTTCATCATCCCCCTCCTCGACGGCGAGTGGTGGGGCTGGCCCTCTCGCGGGCCTCCCCCCCCTTGGGACATCCCCGAGGAAGTGCCCACACCGCCGCTCCCCGGGACCCCCCTCCTGGGCTGCGTTCAGACCGGAACTTCGAGCCGACGTCGGCGGCCGCGGCGAGGGCCTCCCAGGAGGCCCAAGAAAGGGGGGAGAACGAGGGAAGGGTCGCCGTATCGGACGGAGCACCTTCCTCCTCGGACCTTCCCCCCTTCCCCCCGCCCGCCGCAGGGGCCGCCGCCGCCTTGTTCGCCCCCGTCACCGCGTTCTCGCCGAGGAACGCCAGCGACTCGGCCTGCTCCCCTCCCCCGCCTCTCCTTCCCGAGCAGCGTGGGGGGGGGTGGGGGAGCGCGGCAGGCGAGGAGGAGGAGGAGGAGGAGGAGGAGGAGGAGGAGGAGAGGGAGGGGGAGGGGGAGGGGGAGGGGGGAGGAGGAGGAGGAGGAGGGAGGAGGAGGAGGAGGAGGAGGAGGCAGGAGGAGGAGGAGGAGGAGGAGGAGGAGGAGGAGGAGTTGCTGGAGCAGTGGAGCGGACGAGCGAGCCCCACCCCCGCCGCGGACAGGGTGCCACGTGGCCTGGATCAGGCCACGCGGGTGAGGCCGTGGCCTTTGGATGCTGGCGCGCCTGGGAGCAGGCAGGGCGAAACAGAGTGGGAAAGGGGCCAATGGGGGGGGAAGGGGTGGGCCGAGGGAGGCGGAGGGAACGGGAGGCGGAGGGGGAGGGGACGGAATTATGAGAAAGAGTAGCCAGTATGACGACAGGCATGACGCGGTCAGTGGGTGGACGAGGACGAGCAGAAGGAGGAGGAGGAGGAGGAGGAGGACGACGAAGGAGGAGTAGGCGAAGGAGGAACAAGCGACGGACGAGGGGGAGGGAGACGGAGATCTGGAAAATGCCATGGAGATGATGATGCTGCTGATGATGAGGATGCTGATGATGATGGTGATGCTAATGGTGATGGTAATGGTGATGGTGATGGTGATGGTGTTGATGATGGTGACGATGGTAGTCGTGCTAATGATGATGATGGTGTTGATGATGCTGATGCTTATGCTGATGAGGACGATGCTGATACTAATGATGAGGTTACTGAAGATGATGCTGCTGCTGATGATGATGATGGTGATCGTGATGTTGCGGATGGTGCTGCTGGTGGTGGTGATGATGTGGATGATGACGGTGACGATGATGATAATGATGATGATGATGATGATCATGATGATGATGATGATGATGATGATGATGATAATGATGATGGTGGTGGTGGTGGTGGTGGTGATGCTGTTGATACTGATGATGCTGGTACAGATGACGACGATGATGAGGATAATTATGAATGATGCTGATGATGACGATGACGATGACGATGATGATGCTGATGCTGATGCTGATGCTGATGCTGATGCTGATGATGATGATGATGATGATGATGATGATGATGATGATGATGATGATGATGATGGTGATGCTGATCCTGATGCTGATGATGATGTGGAGGACGAGAGGACTTGGGCGCGGCGCAGCAGAAGAGGATGGGATGGGCGCAGGAAGAAGACGAGGAAGACGACGACGAGGTCGAGGGGACGACGACGAGCCTGACAAGCACAGAAGCCGAAGCTCCTCGTTCCTGTCGTCGTCGTCGTCGTCGTCGGAGCCATAGCACTCGGCGTGGCCCCCGCCGCCGCCGTCGTGACATCGGGGCCCGCATCTGCGAGCCCCCGGCAGCAGAAGAGAACACCACATGAACAGAAACTTGTGGCGATCCACGCGCGGATTCCTCGGACTCGCGCTGGACCCACCTCCCTGGCGTGCGGAACGCGCCAAGGGGGGGCGCCGGAGGCGCCGCCGGGGGGCCCAGGCGCGGTCCCAAGACATCCGCGCGGAGCGCCAAGAATTTATGCTTCTGTGTTTTGGTTCTACTTCGGCCCAGAAGAGCCCAGCACGGTCCTCGATCCGGCCTCTTGTCCTCCTCTCGACCCGCGCCCTGCCTCGGGCCCCCACTGCGTGAGAGGGCGCGCGGCGGCCCCAGGCGCGGCCTCTTCTGCGGCGCTCCTCCAGGCGACCTCGTGGGGGAGTCCACAGGGTGCCGATGCCGCTGTGCCCCAGGCCCCTCCCAGGGTGCATTCTGGCCCGAAGATGTCGAGGCGAATGTGCAGCCGCGGCAACACGAAGGCCTCCCGCGAGGCCCAGAAGAGGCCAAGACGACAGCGGCGTGGCGGACTCGGTCTAGCAAGAGTCAGGGGGTCGAAGTAGAAAAAACACGTAAACACAAAAGTTTTCCGCGCGGATTTCTTGGATCCACGCCTGGGCCCCCCCGGCGGCGCCTCCGGCGCCGCCCCTGGCGGGCTCCGCTCGCCAAGGGGGTCCAACGCGGATCCACGAAATCCGCGCGGACCTCCGAGTCTTTTATGGTTATGTTTAAGTCGGGCCTGTCCCCTTTCAGGCCGATTTTCGATACGAGTTGAATATTGCCAAACATACACCAAAATAGTCAAACAAAGATTCAAAGCCCCCCAGACTATTGTCTAACAATTTTTGAGTATTCCTCCTCTTATTTGTTTGAGCATTCCCAAACTATTGTCTAACAATTTTTTGACTATTGTCTAACAATGAAATTCTTCGTTTCCCCACAGAAGAGGCCACAACGACAGAGGTGCAGCGGCCTCGGCCTGGCCAGAATCCAGAATGTGGCGAGGATCGGGGCGGATCCAGCCGCGGCAGCGAGGAGGGCCTCCCAGGAGGCCCAGAAAGGAGAACCTCGGGGCGTTGGGCGGGACTGGGAGCCGTGGGATCTGGTAGGTGTCGGTGGCGCTTGCAGCAGGGGCTCGACCACAAGAAGCCTTCCGCGAGAAGCCCAACCCTGAGACCACAGGGCGTCCGTTGACTTCTGGCGTAAGGAAGGTCGCGCCTTCCCATCGCAGAACCATCGAGACCCACGTCGGCCGCAAGGCCGGCCCCACGGATGCCCAGGAGGCCTTCTGAGCGTCCTCCTCGTCCTCCTCGTCCTCGTCCTCCTCGTCCTCCTCGTCCTCCTCAACCTCCTCCTCATCCTCCTCGTCCTCCTCGTCCTCCTCACGGCCCGGCCTCTCGGAGAGGCCGCGCGGGCGGGCGCGCGTGGCGGCGCGGGGGCCGCGGAGGCAGCCAGGCCCCCCGCCTGCGTCAGCTCGATCGCGGCCTTCTTGCTCTCCAGCTGGGAGGGGGTGGGAGGGCGTCCCCCCTGCTCTGACCCCTCCTCCCCGCCCCCTTACACCCCCCCCCACCCGGGGAGGAAAGGCCCCTCGGCGAGGAAACGCCCGCGCGTCCTCCTCCTCCTCCTCCTCCTCCTCCTCCTCCTCCTCCTCCTCCTCCGCCTCCTCCTCCTCCGCCTTCTCCTCCTCGTTTACTCCCCCTCCTCCTCCTCCTCCTCTCATCATCTCCTGCCTCTCACCTCCTCCTCCCCCTCCTCCTCCTCCTCCTCCTCCTCCTCCTCCTCCTCCTCCTCCTCCTCCTCCTCCTCCTCCTCCTCATCTCCTCCTCGCAAAGGGTGTCCTCGAATAGCAATTCCTCGGTTTTCCTGTTCAACCGAGGAACTGTTAATGGCGGCCCGCTCGGGAAGCAAGGTTAGTGGTCCTCCTTCGCCTCCTCCTCCGTCTGTTGCTGCACACCAAGATCGTCCCTCATCCAAGCTCCTGTAACATGCAACTAATCCTGCTCACCCTGCCTCTTCGCATCCTCCCTCTCCTCCCCCTCCTCCACCTCCTCCTCCCCCTCTTACTTCTCATCCCCCATCCCCCTCCTACTCATCCTGGTCCTAGTCCTTCCTGTTCCTGCTCCTGCCCATGCTCCTCCTCCCCCCTTGAAGCCACAGGAGGGACTTGTACAGGCGCCCACGAGAACGCGTGGGGGCATCTGCCATGCGCTTTGTGACGTGACGCTGGGTGCACCCCCCGGGGTGGCCTCACGTTCTGTACTCGTCCTGCGCTGGGCACGTCGTCGTCCCTCCTCCTCCACCTCTTCCTGCACCTGCGTGCTCCTCCTGCAGGTTCCACCTGCTCCGAGTCCTCCTCCTCCTCCTCCTCCGAGGCTCATCCCACGGCGGCACCTCTCCTCCTCCTCCTGCTGCTCCTCCCCTTCTGCCCCTCCTCCTCCTCCTCCTCCTCCTCCTCCTCCTCGTCCTTCTCCTCCACCTCCACCCCCACCCCCATCTCCACCTCCTCCTGCTCTGCCTCATGCTCCTCCTGCTCCTCCCGCTCCTCCTCCTCCTCACGCCTCTCCTCCTCCTCCTCCTCCTCCTCCTCTACCTCCTGCTCCAACTCCACATCCATCTCCTGTTCATCCTCCTCCTCCTCCTCCTCCTTATCCTCCTCCTGCTCTTCCTCCTCCTGCTCTACCTCCTCCTTCTTATCCTTTACCTCTTGCTCCTTCTCCTCCTCCTCCTGCTCCTCCTCCTCCTCTTCCTCCACCTCCTCCTCCTCCTCCTCCTCCTCCTTGTCCTCCCTCCCCTCCTCCCTGCTCACCCTGGCCGTGGTCGACGGAAGGGAGGGGGGCCGTGCTGCAGAGTGGCCTCTGCCGCAAGCGGCGGCGGCCGGCGACCCCCCGGCGCCAGGGCACGCCCGCGGGGGGCGGCGATCGGCGGAGGCGGCCTTGCCGAGCACGGCGTCGCCGTCTTTCTGCTGCTTCTTGGCCGTCTTCAGCGCCTCCTGCGCCTCGTCGCGCTCCTCTTGGGGCGGGCGGCGCGCTGGCAGCCCGCACGTAATTCAAAGGACGCCTGGCGAGGAGGCAGGGTCGGGGATGTCTGACCCGGGTCAATCCAGACCCGGGTCGGCAGGAAAGCAAAAAACTGCAGTGCAGGAAAAAAACAGCAGCGCAGGTATTCGCAAACCCGGGTCATGCAGCCAATGTGCGCGGCCGCCTCGCGGCCACGAGCGGCTCGCTAACCCGGGTCAGCCAGGGGTAGTCTTCGCAGGATCCTGCAGGATCTGGTGCCCTGGCTGACCCCCGTTTGCCTAGACCCCCGTCTCTTGAGCTCCGACAAGGGCCTGGGGAAGCCATGCCGGCAAGTCGACGCTCTGCGAGCGGGGCGCGGCCAGAGAGAGAGTGGCCAAGGATCGGCCGAGGGGGGAGGATGCAAAGGTGGCCTTGGCAACTTGCTCCTCCTTACGGTGAGGGTCGACTGCGAAGCAACGGGATCTCTACATGTCCACTGCCCCGGGCCCGGCCCATCCTGGGCCTGGGAGCGATGTAGATGCCTCCCTGGCCGAGCCACGAGGCGTACACACCGTTCTCGGGACCTGGATGGGCCGGGCCTGGGCACTGGATGCGTCTGAATATCGTTGCCCTTCGGCCGGGGGGGGGGGCTTGGCGATGCTGAGCGGGGCGGGCAACAGGCAGGGAGGAGCCCTGCTGAGTCCTGCTAGGCTCTGGTAAGCCTTGGCCAGCCCTGCTGAATCCTCCTAAACCCTGCTGTGCTTTGCTCAGCCCTGTTAAGCTTTGCTTAACCTTGGTAAGCCCTTGTGATCCCAAGTCACCCACTAACCCTTGATAGACCTTGCCACGCTCTGCTTTGCGCCAGTAAGCCTTGCTTAGTCCTGCTAAGGCCTGGCAATATCTGGTAGGCTCTGCTAAGCCTTGCTGAACCTTGCTCAGCCTTGGCAAGCTGTGCTAATCTCTACTATGCCTTTCGAAGCTTTAAGCCCTGCTGAGACATGGGCAGCCTTGCTAAACGCTAAACCAAGGTAAGCCCTGGCAAACATTGCTTAGCCCTACTGAGCCCTGCCAAGCAATGCTGACCCCTCCTCAGTCCTGGCACGCCCTGCTGGCGAACTCTGGTAAGCCGTGGTAAGCTCTGCTCAGCCCTGCTGACCCTTGGTAAGCCTCGCTGGGCCCTGCTGAGCTTGGTAAGTCCTGCCAAGCGTGGGTCAGCATTGCTGGGTCTTGATCGGCCTTGGAGCAAATTCCCAAGCAGCGCGATTCCTTGCGAAGCCGTAGGAGACCTGGTGAGCCTTGCGAACCCTTGGTAAGCCCTGTTAAGCCTTGGTCGACCCTGCTACGCCCTACTGAGCCCTGCAAAGCACTGATAAGCCCTGGCAAGCTCAGCTAAGCCCTGCCAAGTCCTGGTCCGCCCTGCTGAGCAAGCACGGCTTAGCACTGCTAAGCTTTGCTAGGCCCTGGTAAGTCTTACTAGGCCCAGCTGAGCGTGCAAAACCTTGCTGAGCTCACATGGGCTTGGTAAGCCTTGATACGCTCTGCTAGGCATTGCAAAGCCCTGATAGACCCTTCTAAGCAATGCTAAGCTCTGCTACGCATTGCTCCTCCGTGACAGTCTCTGCTAAGAACTGCTAGGCCTTGCGAAGCCCAGCTGAACCCTTCTAACCCTTGGTAAGATTTGCTGAGCCATGGTCAGTCTCGGTGCGACCTGGTAAGCACGTGAGAAGCTGTGCAAATCCCTGGTAAGCCTTGTGGAGCCCTGGTGCGCCAGATTAAACTCTGCATCATAACAGGGAGCCCTTCGTTCAGTACCCTGGGTCGGGAATCCTTGGTACTGAATACTGAATAAGGGATCCCTCGCAAGAAACTCTTACTCTGGAGCGCTTACCCGGGAACCCTTCTGCAGGGCTCCCTAGTACGGGTGAGGATTTCTCATCCAGGAAGCAATGGCAAGGATTACTTTGGGAAGGGACCCTTCGCACGCCATCCAAATTTTCGAATCCGAAATCTGCATCTCTAATTAAAAACAACTCGCAAATGATCGTTGACAATAGTTCGCCAGTCGGGAATATTCTTCAAACATCCGTTGTAGAGGGTCCTGTAAAAATATAGACACACCACGGAATCCTGAATCAAAAACCCTTCGTGATGAAATCTTCAAGAAAAGGGAACCTTAGTAAAGGACCCTTCGTAGGGACTCAGCTGTTTGTCGCCCTCCCCTTCAAAAACATTACCGCCATTATGTGTTGATACTCTGAAGGGGAAACGCACAGTGGCTCCCGAGGAGGGGGAGAAGGAGGCAGGGGAGAAGGAGGGAGAGGAGGATGCCACAGAGCACGCAGAGCATTCAAAGACGCATGCGCGAACTCAGTGTGAAGTCCTCGCGCGCGCGCGCGCCCTCGACACCAGGGTGCTCCACAAGCCCCCATGCTCAAAACCCGCCCCCCACCGTGGCGACACGCCCGATGGGGGAGCAGCAGGGCGGGTGCCTGGGCAGGACGACGAGGAGGAGGAGGTGGAGGAGAACATGGAGAAGATGGGACGAGTCCGCTGGCGGGATTCGAAGTCGAGTGGGGAGGAGGGTGTGCTTGCTCAACCTGCACGAACACCGCGACGCTCTAGAACCCGCCCGCCTAGCTGGCACAAGGGCAAGCGACATCAACCCAATGAGTCGAGGGTGACCGTTGTACTACATACACAACATGAGCATGGAAGTGGAGTTCCCCAGGCTCACAGCTGTGCTGCTACTGCAACCAGGATTGTAATTTCGCAAGGGCCCAGACCGCAAATTTCCCGGGCGCCTTTGGGCGCTCTTGGGCGCTCTTGGGGCGTTCCGCGTGGTCCTCTGGGACGGTTGCAACGCCCCAAACGGCCCGGAAAACTTCGCGGAACCCCTCACTAAGCGCCCCAGACGGTCAAGGAGCGCCTCTGGACGGCACAAGAGGCCTCCAAGACGCTCCAAGAGGCCCCGAAGAGGGTCCCGAGATGCAGAAATCGTCACATTCCCAAAAAGAAAATCGAATATCTTTACCATATACGCTGCTTGGGCTTTCGCAACGTCCAAGACGGCTCCACAGGCCCTCAAGATCGCCCCGGGACGGCCCAAGAGCCCTGCAAGAGGGCTCCAAGACCGCACAGGAGGGCCCCAATACGGCCCAAGAAGCCCCCAAGCCTGACCCGGGACGGCCCCAAGAGGAGGCCCAATGGGGGAACCCGAACGGACATTTCGAGCCTTCGGCCCCAATGCGCCCGCAGGAGGCCCAAAGAAGCCCCCACGTGGCCTCATGAGGCCCCCAAGAGCCCACAAAAGGGCCCCAAGAGGCTGAGGCTCCCAAGAGGCCCAAGAACTGCTTCTCAAATTAGGCCCCCGAGTGCGATCCAAAGAGGCCCCCGGAAGCATCCCTGAGGGCTCTGAAGTCGAAAACGCACTGGTAAGCTTAGGTATGTGTTACGCTTCAAGCGTTGCCATATCCCAGGCTTTGACTCATATCGCATGAGCAAGAGAGCGAGACGAAGCATGGGATCTGGAGTAAAGGATAGAAGGGGCATCTTCAATGGAAAAGGTATTTTCCGATCTCAGATACAAGTCGTGCGCCTCGGTGAGGCACAGTCGCATATTAGGCCGGGCCCGGCTTGAGCCAGGCACGGCAGCGGTGCATGCTCGATATATACCTCGCCTTTAACCTTCTCCGTTTAAAGTCGGAGGGGGAGGAGACGAGCAGGCACCGCACTTCTACATTACGCGGAAAAAAACAGTGCTAGGCAACAGCGGCTGCCTACAAGGCAAGGGCGCGCGAGTAGCCTCGCTACCGGCGAGTTTCCTCGCTACTCGAGCGCACCTGCATGCGGGTTTCCCCGCTAGCTCGGGAGGCAGGGCCGTCCTGAGACGACCTGCCCGCCCTATACGGTGTATGTTTCTTCAGCTCGTGCTTGAAGGATTGCTGGCCGGCCATTACTTGTAGGAGCAACGCGCGGTCAATACTACCTTTGGTATGACCATCGGCAGTCATATCCCGCGTGTCACACCATTGAACGCTTTCAACGATTCCGCGCTCCATCATCTGGCGGATCCAGCTAATGTGCCCAAGCAGAGTACATTCTGTGGGCTTCTTCAGATCTTTGCTAGACAAAGACTTGAAGACAGACTCGGCATCAATAGTCAGAGTGACTTTGATACATAGACCACCCATTTCCAATATGTTCTTTAACTGTGTGGGGGTCAATGGTCCCGAGTGTAGCTCGTGGAGCGTTACAATGGTCGGGTAGCAGTCTTCCAAGTTGTGGGCTGCTGCCAGTGTTTCCGCAGAGTAGCTCGAACGCACCTGCAGTCGATGAGACTTGCAGTATGCGTCCACCAGGTGCACGACGGGTTTCCCCGCTTGCGTGTGGCCACGCCTCAGCAGGTTAGCCCCGCGGATACCATAGCCTTTGACTTCGTCGTCTTCATCTCCGTTGAGACGACGATAGCCAGAATCGCTATGCAGGTCGACTTCTCCTGTTGGAGTCATAGCTTGATACACGATCTTCTTCGGACCTGCCTGCAGTTTCCTGGTAACCGCGTTTAGTCGTCGTACCTGGATGTTTGTCGGTTCCTGGATACGTTGTAGTGAGACAACATAGACCATCAGCCATACCTGCGTGATCAACGCATAGGCTAGAGCGCCACGAAGACTGACAAACATATCAGAAATCGTCTTTGTCGCTTTGCTCTCAGGATCAGCTCCTGTGAGTTCTGGATGTGTGATAGGACGAAGCTGTTTGATGTATTCGTCCTGATCAAGAGTGACGCTCCCATCATCGGTCTTGTTGTACCGAACGGCACAGTTTGTGTATGTGTGCTTGTTCAGTTTGCACTTCCCAAACGTATCTTCAACACACTTGACATACTTGTCAATAGCCTCTTCCTTCCCAGTCATAGTGATGTCATCAACGTGCTTGGCTGTCAAGAGGTTTGGGCTCATCTCGAACTCTTCGTCGTATGAAGTAGGCTGTAGCCCAAAGCTCCTAGTGA